GATCCTAATTATGCCCCTTGTCTCGTCCGGATGGAGCCTCCCTCCCTCATTTTTTCAACTATTCCCTCCCCATATTAGTCGTGATTTGCCATTTTGTCATTTGAACTAATGAAGCTGAGGGCGCGCGCTGCGAACGCCAGGGGGGAGGTACGGGTAGCGCGCTCTACCTGCACTCCTCAAATTTTAGCAGTGCTATTTGAACTTTGTTGTCTGGACGCGTGCAGGGGCACGACTACACAGTTATATATCCATCCGGACGAGACAAGGGGCATAATTAGGATCGAACTTCACTTGGGTAAGTTCGTTCAATCTAACAATTATGTTACAAAGCATTTTGTATTTTAGTTTAGCATATTTTGACATAGCATACACATATACATATATATAAAAAATCCTTATATCGGAAATTATTAAACTCTTATTTATTTAATATAAATACGAAGCCTATGACAGTCTAGCTTCGATCTTAGTTACTTATATATAATTTCGCGTAAATTTATATACTAATATGTGTAGTCTTTTTAAATTGCACGTCGAACATTAGTCGGTCTTGAAACTGTAATAAACTACCGCGTAGTACTATCACGAATTAAATTGATTAAAAATTTAATAATTAATTGATGCTCTTTTTTGTATATCGATGTTAAACTGATTTTATTTATTTATTTCTTTATTTTTTACATCGTTATATTAATATTTCATTTTAAATTATTTTTATACAATTATAAGATAAACACACTATAAACAAAAAGATAGATACTAAACAATACAAAATCTGAAGAAAGTATTTAATTTTGCAATATTTATACTAAAAATTAAAATGTACATCTACATAATTATAAATTATTCTTTCAAATGCGGAGAACAGACAGAATATAATAGAAAAATTATGAAAATAAATTAATATAGTATAGAGATATGTATTCATTTACATTAAAAAAAATATTTAATAATATAAGCAGGATATACTTATATGTATATATGTATATCTGACTGCTCCTTTAATTTTAATAAGAGTTCATTATATAGAAATATTTTATATTATTATATTGTAATATTTGGACATAAAGAAGCGGTTTGTATCGCGCACAATGATTTAAATGAGTTAAATTATTAAAACCTTATTGTGCGAGCTTAATTTATCAATTCAGTTGTATCACGGATATAACACTATATCCGTGAGTTGTATATGTACATGTTTGTATATTACTACATATAAATTGTAAGAAATAGATCGCGCATCAGAGTTGAGCCAATCAAGATAAAGCTCCTCTGTCTTGATTGGCTGAATTCCGATGCGCGAACCGCAATCTCATTCCGATCTGCGTCCGCAATCCGTAATAAGTACATGTAAAGGCTATTACTACATATAAATTGTAAGAAATAGATCGCGCATCGGAGTTGAGCCAATCAAGATAAAGCTGCTCTGTCTTGATTGGCTGAATTCCGATGCGCGAACCGCAATCTCATTCCGATCTGCGTCCGCAATCCGCAATAATATGACACGGGCTTATGGCTAGTCTACATAGAAGTCGTAGACGATCGTGGAGTCTTAAATCGTACGAAACTACCCAATCACAATCAAATATAAGAAATATACTCGAATGGTCATCTCAATCCGTAATATGACACGAGCTTATGGCTAGTCTACATAGAAGTCGTAGACGATAGTGGAGTCTTAAATCGTACGAAACTACCCAATCACAATCAAATATAAGAAATATACTCGAATGGTCAATTTCTTACAATTTGAGGTCTTACGATTGTTACAACTTCTATGTAGAATAGCCCTTACGGACTCCGCAGTTCGCAGTACGACACTGGCTTTAAGTCATAACCGATTCGCGCGAAATCTCGATAACATAATAAACAAACTAATACGTTGCTAAACAAAGAGAAATGTAAACATGAAAAAATGACATTATAGTACAGAAGATAGGGTAAGAGAAGGAGTGTTATATTATATTATGGAAATTTAATAGAATAAAGATTTATTTTTAGTTTTGACGTGGAACGGTTAACACAATATCTTTCAAATATGGACTCGCTTACTTCAAATGATCCATATTCTTGTGTAAAACCAGGTATTTTAATTACGGAATTTTATGAGAATATAATATTAAGCATTTATATATAGTATGCTTTCCTTGACTGACTTGAAATATATAAAACGTAGGACAAGAATGGTTTTACTTGCATATTTTCGAAAAGTAAAACTGTCATGCATATTTTAGACATATTTTTTAATTATTTGATTGTATGACTTGCAGTATTATATCTTCCTATATATACAATAATATATATTTAATAATACAACGTTTTTAATACCTTTCGTAGAAACAATACGAAATTGTATACAATATTATGTTTTTAAAAACGTTATATTATATTTCGTATATACTTTATGTTTAACGTATATTATATCTATAATAAGTATTTGAATATTTTTGGAACCTTTGTTTACCAATATCTTTTAATTATTAGATACTGCTAAAGTAGTTCATACCGATTTAGATTTATACATCGATTTTGATGAAACAGTTATTCACGGAAAGGCAGTTTTGTTCATAGAATCCAAAGCTGATTGTGACAGAATAGTTAGTAAACTTTTCCTTTTTTTGAACAGTTTCTCCATTTTTTGAAATAAATACATAATATCGAACAATTAGCTTTTAGATACCTACGGATTCCAGGAAGATAAGATAACTGTCAAGGACGATGTTACTGGTAATGCTTTAGTATATAAAATTAATAAATGTATTGATAATATTGGAAGTGAGGAATTTTCTATTATGTTACCGCGGACATTAATATTAAGAAATATGGAAATATTAAGAAATGATGAAAAGGTACATGATTATAAGTATGGCGATGATAAGATTCATTTTGTATATAAGTAAGTAAAAAATTTTTTTCAAAAATTACAAATTTTAGAAAATATTGATACAAATATATCATATGACGATATACTATATATTTTGCAGTTATAAAATTTGGATTGAGTATAAAACGCGTAAAGATTCCCTTGCACTGTATTGGCTAAGAAGTGATCAAACTTCTGATGGCACACATCCCTTCCTATTAACTAACAATCAAGTAAGTTATGAATGTACAATAAATGAACATTAAATTCTATTAATGTGTACAGTATTAATTACTCGATTTTTAGTTTACATATGCTAGAGGCATATTTCCTTGCCAAGATTCACCGCAGGTCAGATTTACATACACTGCTAAGGTAAGAAATTACGTAGATATCATTTGTATTGATTTTGCACACGCACGTATGCAATATTAACAAAAAATATTCGATACATGTGTGTGTACTATTCCGCACAAAGCGAATGAATCATCTTACTAGAGATTAACGTTTGAAGTTGGTCCCGCATTTTCTCAAAATACACGGGTTTTGAGTTTTCTATTCCTAAACGTTCCTAACGGTTGACGCATAACTTCGTTAATTTCACGAAATCAGTTGACCTCAGAAAATTTTGTAATAAAGAAAGTTGTTAGCACATTGTTGTAGCACAATTAAGCACAACTAAAAAAATCAATATAATTGCCTCTACTTTATTCAGTGTTCGTCTCACATCAACTACACTTCTTATTTTTTTAATAAAAAATATTTTGACGTGAAATATTCAAGTTTAATTTATTTTAGCAGACTTCATAATTAATAAATATTATAATATTTTTAAGACCGCAATTGATAAACATCAACAAGAAGAAAGGAAATTACTGAATTTACAATTATAAATTTCTTCACTGAGAGAGAGGGAGAGAGATGTGTTGTTCAACGATAAAGTACTTTTTTATTATCGATATATAGATGACTTATGTGCGGTTGTTTCTACATCTAATATTGAGTCGGGTTTTTGACAGCATTTAATTCTTTCCATCCACGATTTCAATTACTCTTGGAAGCTAGTGGAAGGAGATTCGTTGAATTTCTTAGATATCGCAATATGGTTATTAAAGAGAATCGGTTGATATTTAATTTGGTATCATAAACCCACTTTTTCGGGTAAATTTTTGAATTTTTATTCTTGTCACCCATCTTCTCAAAAGAAGAGTGTTATTTTTGGATTAGTAGAACGTAAACATATACGTTATATTATTTCTTCTAAATCGGTGATAACTGATCATAGATTACAACAGGGACATGACTTTGATTGGTCTTAAAAATATACGGTCTTAAAAAGATTTTAGTATTTAATAATATAATATCTTCTTATATTTTTGTAAAAACATTTATTATTTCAAGGTTTCGTTATTTTTTAAAATAATATCGGTAATTATTAATCAAGCATCTCTATGATAAAAATATTCCAGGTGAACGAAGTGCCTGTTCAGGATGGAACAGGAACTTTGTTCACTTGGAATATTTTTACTATTTCTAGAAATATGAAAATAATTTAATTATAAAAGTTGTATAGCATCAAAAGAGCAACAATATACTGTCTAATGTAGCAACTTTATACATTGTTGATGATCAGTAAATAAGCTTTATCGACATTCCATGTCTTTGTGAATTCAATTCGTTCGTTTCTTGATAAAGAGTATTTCAGAAATTAATCTTTTACCTAGTTATGGCTCTTCTTCTAGAAATTCGACAGTTAAAAATGTGAATATAATGTAATCTGTGGTGTGTAGTAACTAACTTGTAATGACTGACTTTATTAAATTTATTCCATTTTTTAACATAAAAATTTTATTTGTTCATCAATTATTATTTAATTGTGTACAGAGGTCATCATATTTAGTTTTTATTAATTTAATTGTTTTTTCTAGATTTCTGTACTTAAAGCAATCACAGTTATAGTGGGTGGACGTCAATGTAAAAGTATAATAAAGGGAGACCAAGACCTTCACACTCACATATTTTATGAAACAAATCCAATGCCATCATATGCAATAATCATTATGGCGGGTTTACTAAAGTCAAAACATAATAACTTCATCACTTTGTGGGCTGAGGAGAAACATTTTATGCAAAGTAAAAAAGTATTGACATTTTGTAGAAAAGCCATCAACATTACTAATGAGCTATGTGGTTTTCCTATTCAAGGTAAATTATTATTATAATATCGGTATAACTAAAATTAACACTCATAACTAAAAGTAACACTTAACAGTTATAACTAAAAGTAACACTTAACAAAATATTGGCATATTAGAGATAACATTTAATATTGTAAGATGTTCGTTTGATATTAATATTAATGCCAACATGATGTGGATCTAACCACTCACACTACAGTAGTGTTGATACACAACACAAAGGGATCCACACATATTAATGTTAATATTATATGTAGTAATCACTAATTTTTTTGTGTTGGTGTTAATATTGTATGAATACACTACTCAACAAAGTTAAAGCATTATCTGTTTTACCCTGCAAAAATGGTCAAACTTTGAGATAGAACAACTTCGTCAAAAATCATTGTATCGAGAAGTTAAAAAAAGCATTTTATAGCTTGAAATCTGTACTTTCCAGAACAATTATTTAAGAAACTGTCTTACCGACATTTTATTAAGTTACACAAACAAAAATGAATATGTCCCCTATCTTAAGATTTTATACGAAATTTGTGAGGTTGCGTGGCGCGCATTAAAAATTCTGTAAAAATGCAGTTTAGAGCTATCGAAAGATTGAAATTTTACCTTTGATTTACTTTTCTTGTAATCTTTGTACAATTTTCTTTTTACCGAGTTATTCGATGATGGAGCAAAAAAATTATTTTTACTTCAACATTGAATAACTCAGTGGTAAACATCACACAAAAGCAAGTTAAAGGTAAAGATTTAGTCTTTCGAAAGATATGAACTGCACTTCTACACAATTTTTAGTTCAAGCCGTCGAACTTCTTTAATTTCGTAAAAAATTTAGTGGTTTGGCGCATTTATGTTTATGTAATTTCACGAAATATCAGTAACACCGTCCTTTAAAGTACAGCTCTGAAAAGTAAAGATTCCAAGCATTAAAATGTTTTTTAAATATTAAAAATATGATACGATGATTTTTGATGAAGTTATTTTTACACAAAATTTACCTATTTTTGAAGGTTAGAATACGTAACGTTTTAATTTTGTTGAGTAGTGTAATATTAAATCTATCCGAAATTTTCAAAATTTGTTAAATTATTTCAAGACAATAATTTCAATTATTTTTTTCTCTCTCAGAAATTACATTTATTAGCGTATTTGATTATCAGTGTTCGATCTTATCTGGATAAAATTATCTAGATGATCATCTAGATGAAATTTTGATGCCATCTCATCTTTATCTAGATAATAAAAATATTAATTATCTTTATCTGCATTTTAGATGAAAAAAAGTATCATCTTTATCTAGAATAATGTTTAGATACTTTGGTTCATATTTTACATTGCTAAAAATGTGAAAATATTATAATTTTTTCTTCTATGCAGTTAATGTTTACAGAAAAATTTTCAGCCTCAGGAAGAGAGTGAGTGCATCTAATATAGCATATATAATCATTCACATTGCTCTCAA